AAGGAACTTGACCTCACAAGGCTGTCTATTCCCTTTTAAAAATTTTAATGGCTTTCAAGTCTATAACTGGATTTTTAAGATTATAAATGTAATGATGGCACGATAGTATTGTGGTCATCATGTTTGAGCTAATTTAGAAGGATCCTTTATTGAAAACATAATCAACCACAGCCCAGAAAATAAAGATGAGCTCATATTTGCTAACATTTTCAGACTTCTTGATTTTTCCATACTTGGTAGTTCTCAAACTCCAACATTTAATTCAAGCCTATATTCATCTCTAAGAATAATCTTCTATGCTGATTGAACTCCCTGATTTGTTTCCACAAGGAAAATGGAATATTCCCAAAAATTCAAAACTGATTTACAACAACCTAGCCACCAGGGAATTATTCCCTACCACAGAGCACATGTACTAAGAACAAGACAAGATTGCTTTCAAAAAGAATAAGCAGCTGGGCAGGTGTCACATGCCTGTAATCCCAGCGGCTTAGGAGGTTGAGGCAGGAGGATCGCCAGTTCAAAGCCAGCCTCAGCAACAGAGAGGCGCTAAGCAACTCAGTGAGATCATGTCTCTAAATAAAATACAAAATGGGGCTGGGGATGTGGCTCAATGGCTGAGTGCCCCTGAGTTCAATCCCTGGTACCCCCCCCAAAAAAAATGTGTGTGTGTGTGTGTGTATAAAGAATAAGCAATAATATAAAAATAGACAAGCCAGCCCCAAGAATAATGACAAATTCCAAAATAGTAATCTCTGTTACTTGATTAAAAAAACAAATACATAAACTAATTGACAAATAAAGTAAAAGAATGAGAGTCCCCAAGATTCTGGAAATTCCCATAAGTTGAAGTATGGTGACAATTGTTTTTGCTGTACAAGAAAAAAATGGAGCTGGGCATGGTGACACACTCTTATAATCCCAGCGATAGGAAGGCTGAAATAGGAGGATCACAGCCTCAGCAAAAAGCAAGGTGTTAAGCAACTCAGTGAGACCTGTCTCTAAATAAAATACAAAATAAGGCTGGAGATGTGGCTCAGTGGCCGAGTTCCCCTGAGTTCAATTCCCGGTACTGAAAAAAAAAAGAGAAGAATAAAATTGGATAGTTCAAGAAAGGAGAACCAAGAATTTCAATAGGAATCAGAAAATGAGATCCCCATTGTATGGGGAAGCCTTTATATCTGGAGGGACAAAAAAAGAAAAACCATTACTCTTTCCCTCTTCTCTGTGGCTATAGGAAACACAGGCTAGGTAACAGTTTCATGGGTTTAGGGACACTCCTGAGATGATTCAGCTCTGTGAAAATCACTTTTAGGTTACATTTTAGTCATTTGAAATACTTAATTATTTATTTATTTCTGCAATCTGGGGGTCAAACTCAGGTCCTTACACATGCTAGGAAAGTGCTTTACTCCTGAACTACCTCCATCCCATAATTTGATTCTTCTTGAGACCCTCAGTTAAAGCAGGGGTTTAATTTGTATGAACTCCTGAGGATTGAATCCCAGTGTATGTAATCTCATTTTTTTTTTTTAGTTACCCCCAGTATGCCCAGGTATTCAGAAATATGATGATTCAGAAATGAAGTTAAGGAAATGGAAATGCCAAATAACACCGTCATTTCATTGCACTAGTCTAACTAAATAAAAATCACTTCAACACCAGCACACTCCCAGCCATCAGTGTGCCCTGCAAATGCTGCCTTAGGCCATAGCTGTCCTCTTTAAGGCCTCAACTCAGAATCATGACAGCATTTTCAACTCTGTAAAAATGATTAGTAAAGAACTCACATTCTCCCCAAAGCCTCATTTTCAGCGGTTAGTGTTGCCCACAAAGTCATTCTAGTCAGGATTTAAACAGGCCAGTCTCTTCTAGTTGTCGTATCTTATAAAGTAAGAGCTTTATTTCACTGAACTCCAAGCCCTGAAGAAGAGGTGGGCCAAGTAGTTGGTAAGTTTGTTCTGACAAAGATTCTTTGCTTGACCAAACTCTCATCAAGCTCTAAATCTTCTAGCTCTTATGTACATCCTTGTAAAATTCACTTTTAGCAAGAACCCTCCTAATTCAGTTTAACAAGTACCCTACAACCTCAATATCTTATCACCCTTTATACCTAATCTAGTTCCTCATTCTCACTGTGCCCCAGTTGATGTCTCATCACCTGGCCTGTCTTCAGCAAGATTTCTGGTATGTCAGTTTAGCCAGAATCCCTCTCATTCCGAATGTTTCTTCTTAGAAATTTCCCATCCACTCACTTCCACCCTATTCCTTAACTATAAACACCCACTTACCTATGCTGTATTTGGGGTTGAGTTCAATCTGTTTCTCCAACTGCAAAATCCCCCTGCAGTAGTCCCTATATATATTTGATGTTCCCAAATAAAGTCTGCCTTACTGTGTCTTAACAAGTGCCATCAAATAATTTTTTTCTTTGACAGTTCCCTTAAAAATATAGAGTGAAGAGCTAGGGATATAGCTCAGTGATAGGGTGATTGCCTACCATGCTCAAGGCCCTTGGTTTGATCCCTAACTCTGAAAACACACACACACACACACACACACACACACAGCAACTCAGTTTTCTATGAGAGGAAAAATTCACTCTTGGCTGTTGATTTGATCCCTGGGCCATGGGAGAAACCATGCTGCAGAGCAGAAGTGCTCTCTTAGCAACACAAAGCAGTTGGGCATAGAATGAATAGAAAACCAGAAGCTTGAGAGGCTTGGCAACCTAGGATCATTCAAGATCTGCATATTCAAATAAATCCAGATTCTTTCCAGGTTAAGAATTTGTTCTTTGGGAATAATGATTGTTCAAGAATGAAATGCAAAATGTTTAAGTCAAAGACAGCCCTCCCATCACCTATTAGAAAAGATTACCCCAAATCTGATAGTAGTAAATTGTTTTTTATAGTTAAAAGAAATAAATAGAAATTCATCTTAAATCCTTTTGTTTACCTTATTTAGAATAGAAAAGTATTTGTCCATATCAAGTGAACCATCTCTACTAATTGCAAGATCTGAAAGAATTTGCAGATTACTGTTTCATATAATTGTGTGATTGCAGCTGATCTAATAGCTAGATCACATTACAAGAGGCAAAAACTAAGCAGAAGGGAAAAGGAAGGGATAAACTGGAAAAAAACTCCATGGCCTAGGAGTTAGGACATTAGCTAGCTTTGTGTCCTAGGGAAAATTGCTTAGGTTTTCTAAACTATAGTTTTATTATGTATAATACAAAGATCAGACTAAAATCCTCCCCTGCTCATACATTTCATGAATTTAAACTCTATTTTTCCTTTCAGAAACTGGTCCCCAAACCGGGCATGGAGGCACATGCCTGAATTCCAATGACTCAGAGGCTGAGGCAGGAAGATTGAAATGTCAACCTTGGCAATTTAGCAAGACCCTGTTTCAAATAAAAAAGGCTGAGGATTCAGTTCAGAGGTAAAATGCCCCTGGGTTCAATCCCCTGTACCAAACAAACAAAAACCCTAATCTCCAATGTCCCCAAATTGTGTTTAAATTCCCTTTAGACTCACTGAGGGATTATGGAGCATCTTTTAGTATTTGTGCCTTTATTTCTCCATTCAAAGACTCACACATACTTCATAGGGATATTATGAGAAAGTGAGATGAAACAGTACTTAGTTATATGAAACTCCAAAGAAAATTAGAAATCAAAGAAAATTAAATCTTCAAATTAACTCCAAATTCTGTATTCAGGAATTTCCTCCAACCAGACTTCAAATGCTACTCAGTTACAAAATATACCTATATCTATATCTATCTAGGTATTCATTTAGCTATATTTATATATCCATTAGAATTTTTTAAATTTCTTATTCTAGGGGTTGCTGGGTTTACCAAATAAAAACATGGGACAGTTCATTAACTTTTAGTCTTAGATAAACAATGAATAATGTTTTAGAATAACTATGTATGGGGGCTTATAAAACAATACCTAAGATAATGGCACTTTGACATGACCAGTGCTTTGAGCTTTAGGACATTGGAAAAGCCTTGGATCAATGTCTCTTTCTGATTTTCTCTTGCTCTCTTTTTTCCTTTCTTCCCTTTCTTCTCCAAAGAAGTTGTATTCTTTTTAATATACTAGCCTATCAAAACAGTTAAAAACAAAGTTTCTAAAAGATATTTTAATTGTTATTGAATAACAATTCTGGTCTATGTGGCATTGTCTCTCTTTTTCCTTTCATAGTTTTTAAGTGTTTTTTTAATGGGAAATAAGAGAATAACTTTTGTGTGCCCTCTCTGGATATTGTGTGAGAAGGATCAGATTGCTCTATGGGGAGAGAAAGAGTAAGGCAGGAGTGGGTGGGGTGGGGGGATACAGGAGTAAAGGAGGGTATAGCTGGCAGGAAATTTAAAGTGAAGTAATGACATTAGCCTCTCCTTTATATTCACCTTTTCTTTCTTTTTCTCTTTTACAGTTTTGGGGATTGAACCCAAGGCCATAAGGAAATTCTCTAACACTTGGCTACATCCCCAGCCTTTTGTATTTTTTATTTTGATATTGTTTATTTTATATTACTAATTTTCTGAGACTGGCCTCAAACTTGCCATCCTCCTGCTCATCCTCCTGAGTTGCTTGGATTACAGGTGTGAGCCACTGCCCAGCAGTAATTTTTTTTTCTTTTAATTAAAAAAAAAACTGTAGAAGCATTCATAATATCAACAAAATAACTGTAAGTTATTTTTCAGTTACAGAGTGTTTTTCTGTTAACATAAAAATTATTTCATAGAAGCTACTTCAGGAACACTGAAGATGAAAAAACTGTCTTTCTCATATACATACCAACAAGAACCTGTTTTAAATTTCATACCAACAAGAACCATTTTAAATTTCCATTCCAATTTGCAACCTTCATCTTGTACCAGGCAAAGTTTCTGGCTATTTAAGAGCAAAGACACATTCAGTGGAGTGTTATCATACAAAAGAAGACATTTTAAAGTTTAAAAAACATCTTACACAACCTTACATTTCAAATTTTTTTCTTTAAAAGGAGTGAGTTGGATACAGGGATGTCAAATGCTTTATAGACAAGAAAAAACTGTGCTAGAGTCAAATACTTATCATCTTTATCTTCATCTGCCTCTTCCCTTTCACTCTCCACTTTGTCTTCCTCTTCTTTCCTCTGCTTTCATTTTATTTTATTTTATTTGCTTTTTCAGCCTTCCCAGCTTTTTTGCTGCATCAGGTTTTTCCTAAGCCTAGTAGGCAACATAAGCTCTTCGTGTTCTTCTTTTCACAAGGCTGTATCTTCAGCAGCCATGTTATTCCACATCTTTCTCAGTTTCTTCTCAGTATTGCCAATGGACAAGCCTGGGTGTCTTCCTTTGATTTTTTGGGCACTACTCAGAACAAAACAGAACGCCATAGGGGGTCCCTTGGAGGCTTTGGGGTCCTTGAACTTCTTTTTTGTTTCTCCTTTAGGAAGGATATAAGTTTTCATTTCTCTTTCATAATGGATCTTGTCCACCTCTGCCATGTCTTCACTTTTTCTTTCTCTTTAACACACATGGTCTTCCACTTCTCTGAGCACTTTTTAGAAAACTCTGAGAAGCAGACTACAGCATCTGGGTGCTGCTTCTTATTCTCCCACAAAGTTTGCAGCAAGGATGCATATGTTAACAGTTTGCCTCTTGGCTTCTTAGGAGTTCCTTTGCTCATGTTTAGTTGTTTCTTTTTACTGTGGTACAGAGTTGCCCAAGGTGTATCTAGCTCTCACTCATCCCAGCACTGTCTCTAGGAAGCTCAGTGTTCTGCAATGACGGTGAGAGCCGGAGCCACTATATTCACCATTTTAATACCAGATCATGTCATGTAAACCATAGGGCCTGAAAGATAGAAAATAAAATTTGATCAGTACATGCACACAAAAACTGGTACCCAAATGTTCATATCAATGTATTTAGAAAAGTCAAAAAAGTGGAAATAATGCAAATGCCCATTAAGGGATGAATAGATAAACAAATTATGATATATTCACACAATGGAAGAATGATATTTAGCCATGAAAAGAATAAAGTACTGATACAATCTACCACATGGATGAGGCTTGAAAACCTTATGCTTAGTGAAAAAAGCCAGACACCAAAAGACACATATTGTATGATGCTATTTATATGAAATGTCCAGAATAGAACAATCTATAGAGGCAGAAAGTAGATTAGTGGTTGTCTGGGCTACATCAAGTGACTGCTAATGCATGTGTAGTGCCTTAGTTTTTTGAAGGATGATGAAAATGGACTAAAATTAGATAATTATAGGTAGTAAAATTGGTTGTGTGATGGTTCTACAACTCTATGGCTATACTAAAAGCCACTGGATTTACACTTTAAAAGAATGAATTTTATTATTTATGATCATATCTCTAAGGTATTATTTTTTAAAAGTCAGTACAATCGATCAATCAAACAAACAAAAACTTGGTCAGATCTCAAATGATGCTAAACAGAGCCATTTCTAAAAAACCAGCAAAGGTCTGGGCACAGTGATGCACATCTGTAATCCCAGCAATTTGAGAGCTAAAGCAAGAGCATCACAAATTCAAGGGTAGCCTTGTCAACTTAGCAAAACCCTATCTCAAATAAAGAAAGAAAGAAACAAAGAAAGAAAGTAGGCTGGGTATGCAAGGAACTTAAGCTAATTACATTACTGGTTATTAAACTTTTTATCTCACAGAATTTTCACAACAAAATGGATGGTGGTTAAACTTCAAAGAGAAAGTTCGGAAGGTTCTATTCCCCTGTAAGGGAGGGAGAATATGTCATCTGAGTTCGTATTTCTGTCTGCTAAAGGTCAGTTTTCTCCCAACTGAGAAAATCGGTTGGAGTTAAGACAGCTATGTTTTTGGTAGACTGTGCTGTAGTTAGATCAGGTAAGCTCAGGTAAGATTTCCTTCTGCATCTGCTGTAACCCAAATGTTTGCAGTTAAAAGTAACCTTACATAATTTCAGTGGGCTCTTGGTTTATGTTTTGCTTTTACTACATTCTCAGCCTTATTACAATGATTTATTTCTTGTTTTGGTGCTGCTTGGAAATTTCCTCATCCCTAGACATCTTTAATAAAAGGTGCCCAGTCTGCACATACCCAGAACTCCAAAGATGTTTTGGGGCTCAGAGCTCTCAAAAAGCTCTGGGTGGTATCTTGCCTGTGATCCAAACTTAGTGTCAGAATTTGCTCCTGTGCTGTGAGATCTTTCTGTGTGTGCCTCCAGCCCTTATTCCTTTCCTGGTGCTGCTACTCTAGAACAGAAAAGAAAAAAAAATAGCTCTACGTCCAGTAATGGCACCCTATTTGGTTTATAGCCCTGCTCCAAGGCCTTCCAAGGAGGGAGGTTTAAAACATCAGAGGCTACTACTCCTTGCAGCCAGCCAGAGAGCTTAAGGACCAGCTGGTTGTCTTTCCTCCTCCTTTTCTCTCCTCAGCAGGATGGAAAGCTGCTTCCCCTCCCTCTTTCTCAGGACTATAGTTCTTCTCATTGCTTTCTTCCCCTTACCTCCTGGCTGTCTTTCACAGGCTGCCAGGTTGCCATGCCAATAAGGTTCCCATGGTTACTAGGAAGAGCTGCAGCATTCCCATAGGCAGCTCCCATCTACCCTAAGAGAAAGGGAGACCATTACTGCTCCCAGGGCAAAATAAATAAATAAGCAAATAAAAAAGGACAGAAGTGGTCTCAGCCCTGGAGCTGTTAGAAGAAGAATCTTGTTTAGCTATGAATTCTCCAGGCTGGACCTTGGACCAAATCTTACTGTCTCTAGTCAGGCTGTCTCTCCCCTAAACCTGAGGACAGCGGCTTCTGGCTCTGGTTCAAGTCCATTGTTTTGCCGAGTGTGGGGCCCAAATAGATACCACATTGTGAGGATTGTGTTAATATGTAAATAACTAATACATCTGTGTTCTTTGTCTAGCAAGGAAACTGGCAAAATGCAAAGCATGCTCTCTGTCTCCACGGTTGGATATCTTGTTGGAGAAACTGCTTTCTCCTTATGGTGCTGTGTTCTGTGGTGTTCTTCCTTGGATTGTCCATCTTAGGCCACATCATGTTTGTTTGTTTAGCAAAGTTTGTTTTAATAAAATATAAGTATATTTGAATATAAAATTAAAAAATAAATAATTTGAAGAAAAACATTCACTATTCCAAGGTCAATATTTTTATTTCCTCTTCTTAAGTATTCATTTTAAAAATTTCATTTTCTTGTTTAATTCACATATAATAATTATACATGTTTATGGAATACAGTGTGATATTTTGATACATGTATACTGTGTGTAATGGTCAAATCAACATAATTAGCACTTTCATCTCTTTAAATATTTATCATTTCTTTGGGCAAGGTAATCTTAAAACTCTTCTCTTCTAGGTCTTCATAAAATATAAGGGCTGGGGTTGTAGCACAGTGGTAGAGCTCTTGCCTAGCATGTGCAAGGTCCTGGGTTTGCTTTCCAGCACTGCCACCAAAAAAAAAAAAAAAGAAGAAGAAGAAGAAAGAAAACAAACAAACAAAAAACAGAAGTATAATAAATTATTGTAAATGATAGTCATTATATTGGTCTATAGAACTCTGGAACTTATTCCTAGATCAAGCTGCTTCTCATTCTTGAAAATAGCCCACATTCTCCCTTGAATGTGTATCTATCTTCCTAAATAAACGTTTGTCTGACTTTTTCTGGCTTGTGCTGAAATTTTTTTTCTATCATATATGCCAAGAAGCCCATGGGTCCTGAGTTCAGTTCTCTCTCTCTCTCTCTCTCTCTCTCTCTCTCTCTTTCTCTCTAGGAACTCCTCGGATCCTTCTCCGGAGACAATTTTTCTCCTGTGACATCTTTTGGTGCTCAAATGTTGGGCTTCAGAGGCATCAACTTTAGTAAGAGTTATCAAATATTTTCTTTTTGTCTTGATTATGACTTATTCTGTCCCTGTAGCTTTCCCCTCTCCCTCCCTCTCTTCCTCTCTACCTTCCAAAGACCAGAGAGCATAATCTCAATAGTCTCATTTGACGTGGCTCCCCTTTTTGGGTGGCTGGGAAATCCCCAGGCTATATAGATTCAAGTGGCAATAAGGTGAATAGTGGCAATAAGGTGACGGCTGACAATGTCCTAGGGATCTGGTAAGAGTCTTTGAACTCTAAAGACCATGAAGGAGCTCAGTGGTCCTTTTTTTTTTTTTTTTTTTTTTTTGTAGTTGTAGATGGACAGCATACCTTTATTTTACTTTTATACAGTGCTGAGGATTTCTATGGTGCCCAGTGCCTCACATACGCGAGGCAAGTGCTCTGCCATGGAGCTACATACAGCCCCAGCCCCCTCAGTGATCCTTTTTAAAGCTCTTTCTTTCTTTTTTTTTTTACAGTGTTCATTGACAAGTTTTCACATATTTTAAAGAGAGAGTGAGAGAGGGAGAGAATTTTAATATTTATTTTTCAGTTATCGGCGGACACAACATCTTTGTTTGTATGTGGTGCTGAGGATCGAACCCGGGCCGCACGCATGCCAGGCGAGCGCGCTACCGCTTGAGCCACATCCCCAGCCCAAAGCTCTTTCTTTTTGTTATGCTGCACAGTGGGAATTATAGGTTTCTCAGCCTCCATGGATCTTAGAATGGTTGATGTTCTTACTGTTTCTCTTCCTCTTCTCCTTGGCCAAAAGCCCTCTTGCCTTTTAGCAGACGAGTGCTTGTTTATAAAATCACAAAGACCCCATTCCTGGATCAGAAGGAACATATATTACTTGTCTGGAAGGTGCACATGAGGAATTGGTCTCCCAGAGTCTTGAGCACCGGTTTGTTTTTCCAAATGTGAGATTCACCCAGGACACATGGAGGGACCCGGCCTTGATGTGACAATCAAGAAAGCTACCTCCATTAATCACCACATTCAGATCTGATACACTTAGTTGCAAATCTTTTGACACTAAACTTCTGCTGATCTCTAATCCCTAAGTTTTAGCTAAAACTCTGGCCTGTCTTTTGTCACTCCCTTTTCTAAACTATCTTTTGCACAGTCTCACATGTGCCCCAGTTAAGTTACCCTATCCTAGGGACTATCATTTTCACTGTTGGAGAAAGAGATTTGTAAAGAGGTGGTACAAAGCCTGTGCCCTATTAGGAGTCATGGTTTATGTGCGGCCTTGAGAGCCAACAGTTTCTTAGGCCTACAGGCACCAGCCCTGAAGTCTAAATTCCTTCATTTCTACAGTCAGTGAGCCAAAGGACAGATAACTCAGCCTAGGGTAGGAAATAGTTAATTTCATTTCCACCTTAATTATGGAGGGGGAGAAAAATAAAAAAGTCAGTTTTAAAATAAAACTATTGGCAAAATAGTGAGGGTTTTGTTCAACACAAAGTGGACCCCTATTACATGAACAATTTTCTAATTAAAACTTACAAGATTTCATCCTATCCCAAAGTGCCTCTAAGCTCTCTACAAAGTTTTGTGTCTTTGCTATTTAAAAAGATATTGTAAATTCTTAAGTGTACCTAGATTATTTGAGATTTTAGGGATGTCCTTTTTAGAATTTTTCAATTTCTGTTTTGGGGGAGGTATCAGGTATTGAACTCAGAAGCACTTGACCACTGAGGTAGATTCCCAGCCCTATTTTGTATTTTACTTAGAGCCAGGGTCTCACTGAGTTGCTTGGTGCCTCACTTTTTTTGAAGAGACTGGCTTTGAACTTGGGATCCTCCTGTCTCAGCCTCTCTAGCCACCAGGATTACAGGTGTGCGCCACTGGGCCAGACTTTAATTTCTTTTCCAAAAGGCCTAGATAGGAGTACATCTATGAAGACTTGAATTGGGTGTAAACATACTTTATATACAAATAGAGATATGAAAAATTGTGGTATATATGTGTAATAAGAATTGTGATGCAAAAAAAAACCCCACAAAACACATGCATAAAGGCATGAATTGGCGTGAACATACTCTATACACAAAGATTTGAAAAATTGTACTCTATATGTGTAATAAGAATTGGAATGCATTCTGCTGTCATGTATTTAAAAAAATAAAATCAATAAAAATAAAAAATAAAAAAAATGCAAAAAAAAAAAAAAAAAGGCCTAGGTAGGGGCTATCAAACACCCTGAAAACCGCATAACTGGGACGAGGACATTAGTACCACCAATAGTTTGCAGACAATTGGGGAAAGACTTAAAGGTCCAGTCTGTGGGGATTCATAGAGCACCCCCAGAGACTCAACGTTAGGCAGACTTAAGGGTCTGATCCCAGTGGATACTCCAGAGTACTTTGGAGGCTCAAAGTGGGATAAACTTAAGGGTCCAATCCTGGTTGGGGACTTAAAGAGTTCCCTGGAGGCTACATTATTGAAGAAATTGGAAGGTCTGATCCTGATAGGGACACATAGAGTGTATCCTGAAGAGATAATTTGGGACAGACTTAAAGATCTGATCCCAATTGGGGACTTAAAGAATACTCTGAGGCCTGGTTTGTATTTTTCAAAAAGCCACATTGGAATTATAGGTAATTGAGTATATATCCCTGAGAACTCATCCCTTAGGTTCATAGTAAATAATTAAAATTGGTTTAAGACAGAGGACTTAGATCAACTTCCTTTTTTTCTGTAACACGACTGGGGCCCAACATAAATTTTTTTAAAAATAGAGGCTTGTTCTATAAATGGGAAAAATAAACAGAGATCTGAGTCTGGGTCTCACATTTTCCTCAAACTGTCTTTAAAAATGGAGGTGGGGCTAATTATTCAAAGGCTGTTATCTTAAACAACTATTCAAGAGCTAAGTCTCAAACTCACTTGGGATTAAGGAAAGAGAATTATTCTCTGATAAAAAACAGAGAATAAACAGTTGGTGTTGGATGAGGTGGATCTATGTCATAGATGGACAAGGAGCCACCTGAACCATTGTTTCAGTGTCCAGATGTGATTGATAGATCTTGTTCCAGCCATGTTCAACTGTACAGATCTCCCTCTCCACCAGGTGTTCAGAATGTCAGTCCTGACTTGCTTCAGTTTCCTTTCTGTGGGAGAAAGTTGGTGGGTGGGACAGGGGAAGTCTAAAGACATTAAAGATAGTTGTCCAGGGCCACTCCTCCATGCTGCCTGAAGGTCTCATGTCCTGAGTCTAACACTGACAGCCCTCGGGGGTACCAATTATTAACCACTGTCTTTTGTTTCTTATTGACTTGGCCCAGTGGTGGAGGGTGCCCTCACTCAGTAAATCTTGGATCCTGAGACAAGTCTTAGTCTGATTTGAGCTTTTTGGCCAAGAGGTGACTCATTATACCAGAGCGTAAGCTGAGCAGTCTCTCCTTCTTCAGAAATGCTTCTTCCCCAAATCTGTCCCTGTGTCTACCATTTAAATAGGGACCCATTATGAGAGATTCTCAAGATAGAGCTCCCCTGTCTTTATCTTATTTAAAAAAAAATTTTTTTAGTCATTGCTGGACCTTTATTTAATTTATTTATTTGTATGTGGTGCTGAGAATTGAACCCAGGGCCTCACATGTGCCAGGTAAGCACTCTCTGAGCTACCACTCTAGCCCCTCCCCTGGCTTTAAATTAGACTGCCTTTTAGACTCTCACAAGATATCTTTTCTGTACTCCCCTCATCTGGAAAGAACAAGACCAAAAATTATCACTTCAAGTAAACTATCCCTTATCTCTCCTAGTTCAAGGAGCCAATTTACTTTCTCTATTGGGGATATCATCCAGAGCACTAACGGGCTTGCCTCCCACTTCAAATTGAGGAGCATAATATGAAATCATGTCCTGTCCCAAAAGGACAAAGGGAATATGTAAGGCAAATTTTAAAGGCACAGCTATCTGGCAAATGTCCTCCTTAGATTAAACAGTTATCAAGAAGTTGGTATATTCTGTTCTGAGTGAGGCCCAGTTCTCCCCCACACATCATTATCAACGTTGTGATGGTCTTAGCACAGATAAACCAGAATTCATTACAAGAAAGGCATCTAAGGGTTTCATGGTCTCCCAAGGTAACAAGTCACATGCTAAGGGTGGATAGACCAGAGGCTTGCACCTTTTTCATGGCCACCCATGAA